AGTCGACAAAAATCATATTTATTTTGCTAGAACTCCATTTTTTTCTATCGAATGAGTACAAGAAACCACCCATTTACCAATTTCAACTATCCAGTAAAGTAGTTAGAAATTGGCAGTTTTGCCAATTTCACACAAATTTCAAAAGATGTCAATTTCCAAATAGGGTCCAGAATAAACAAGACTGACATTCCTGGCACTAAAATAACATTTCCTCTGTTCATTAGTCATGTCCCCAGGCCCCTTTTACATTTCTTTTGCTTTCCACTTTGAATTTTTATTCTCACAAAAAATAGAAGATTTACTGTTATGCTGACTACTGCATTAGTGTAGAAATGGTATAAATAATACCAGTGCACTTATGAAAGAATATTAGACTCACCAGTTGACGTGCATTGGATGCTTGGCATGATTTGTTTACTTTTGAACTTTGGTAAAAATCGAACATTTCTGCTACTTTGAGCTCCATTTGAAGGTACTTTTCATTGTGAAACCAATCAAAATCATCTCAATTTCTGTAATATGTCTTCCATTCTATAAAATAAGACCAGGAAAACTAGAATACAACCATAAATACCATAAATCCAAAAACACAAAGTTTCTTTTCTCATTTCGCACTGTGTGCTGCAGGATTTTTTTTATACTGTGCACACTGAGCACATAGACCCATTCTTTCATGTGTAGGCCTACCAGCTTTCTCTCGCTAGATTTGAAGGTGCTAGAATTTAGGCGTTCTAGTGTGTCAATAACCTTGGTGCATAAGCCGTGCTAGTTCGTCGGAAACCCTGAAAGGGTTAAGGTAAGAAATACTATTATTTCTGTTGCATTTGTAGTCTTAACCAGTAAAAACAACATAATACATCATAACAATGAACGACAATTACATATTCAGTTTTATTTTTGTAAGATGTGGAGGCCCAAAAAAAAAAAATAAGTTGTTTGGCTTTTTTGGGGCTCTAAGGAACATAACCCTGTTTTTCCCATAAGTTCTTCAGTTCATCTAACATAGTTATACCTAACACGCCATTTTCAGGAACGTAACTACCGTGTTAAATGACAGTCTACTGTATACAATCATTTTATGCTACACAATAACTGCACGAACATTGACAGGTGAACATTTTCATCTATTTTAGTCACCGTTGTCTAGAAATATATACATAGTATTTATAGGTCCCAGCAATGTTTTGGATACATGGGAGTATATAATGATAATAATAATAATAATAACTGAAGCATGGTGAAAGACCAGTGTCAACAGTGGAGTGACATTTGATGAGTGTGCACTGCCTAGGCTTTGTTTGTTTTCACTGTTACACATAAACATGTCTGTCTCTGTCTGTCTGTCAGTCTGTCTAGCTCTCTGTTTGTCTAGCTCTCTGCCTAGTGCTCTGTCTGTCAAGCTCTCTGCCTAGCTCTGTCTAGCTCTGTCTGTCTAGCTCTCTCTGTCTTTCTAGCTCTGTTACTGTCTGTCCAGCTCTCTCTCTCTTATCTGCCTTTGCTTGTCTCTGTTTCTGTCTCTCTGCTTGTCTCTCTCTCTACTTGAGAAAATGTTATTTTAGTGCCAGGAATGTGTACATTATTTATTCTGGCCCCTATTTTGAAACTGGCCTTTCTTGAATTTTGTGTGAAATTGGCCAAATTAGTAATTTCTGATCACTTTTTTGTAGTTGAAATAGGTAAATGGGCAGTTTCTTGTACTCAATCAATAGAATAAAAGGAGTTCTAGTGAAATAGCTATGAGTTTGGTTGAGTGAAGCAAAGGATTTGGCCCAAAACAGGGCTCGAAGTGGGAAAAATCGCTGATACATAAATATTGCTGAAATCACTAACTTTGTGAGAGCGTAATTCCCTAAATGTTCCATCAAATTTCGTAGTTTTGGTTTTATTAACATTGGAAAGAGATTCTCTATTATTTCATAAGTTTTTTTTTTTTTTTTTGATTAGGAGTTACAATGAATTACAACTGAATTCTTTCACACACCCTCTCACTCATCCCCTCCCTCATACTTTCACTATTTCACTCTCACCCTTTTGCACACCCACTCTCTCTCTCGCCCATTCATCCACTCTCACTTTATCCTTTCTCACGCCCTGTACTGTTTTAGAGATAAGTGTCTTTTGTGCCCAGTAATGTCTCCTGAACTAATGATCATGAAAAATAAATTTCATAATTCAGAAATATTTTGCAGTCAACTATAAGATACACCACCACCCCCTATTACAGTGGACCCCCGGTTAACGATTTTAATCCGTGCAAGAGGGCTCATCGTTATGCGAAATAATCGTTATGCGAATGAATTTTCCCCATAAGAAATAATGGAAATCAAATTAATCCGTGCAAGACGCCCAAAAGTATGAAAAAAAATTTTTTTTACCACATGAAATGTTAATTTTAATACACACAAACTGAAAAAGGCATGCACAATTAAATGACACTTACTTTTATTGAAGATCTGGTGATGATTGATGGGATGGGAGGAGGGGAGAGCATTATCTTCTTACTGTTTAGAAGGGGAATCCCTTCCATTACGACTTGAGGTAGCAAGTCCTTTTCCGGGGTTACTTCCCTTCTTCTTTTAATGCCACTAGGACCAGCTTGAGAGTCACTGGACCTCTGTCGCACAACAAATCTGTCCATAGAGCTCTGTACCTCCCGTTCCTTTACGATTTGTCTAAAATGGGCCACAACATTGTCATTGAAATAGTCACCAGCACGGCTTGCAACAGCTGTGTCAGGGTGATTTTCATCTATAAAGGTTTGCAGTTCAACCCACTGTGCACACATTTCCTTAATCTTTGAAGTAGGCACAATGGATTCCACAACTGGCATAGGCTTCTCAGGGTTAGCCCCAAACCCTTCAAAATCTTTCTTAATTTCCATACTAATTCTCACCCTTTTTACCACAGGGTTGGCACTAGAAGCTTTCTTGGGGCCCATGGTCACTTATTTTCCAGAAACAGCACCGAAAACACTGTAATAATACGAAATATTCCGAGTGTATGCTTGGATGTTACCGCGGAGGCTGGCTGGTAAACAATGGGACGGCCGGCACATGTGAGGCTGGCTGAGGGCACATTGGACGCGTCTCAGACGAAAATCGGTAAGCGGGTTTTTAATCGGTATGCGCGGCAAAAATTTTGCGATAAAAGTAATCGGTATGCGGAAAAATCGCTATGTGATGCCATCGTTATGCGGGGGTCCACTGTAATCCATTATTTAGAGAGTTTACTATAATATACAGTGGACATTTATAATTCACAAGGTTTACGTTCCTCAGAGCAACATTTCTAAGGGAGTGGAGGAGCAGTTTGTTGATTCAGTTTAATAGTTTATTTTTTAATAACATTATTATAGAATAAGAAGTTGATAAATTAGGCAACCAGTGTTTTTTTTCAGTTCAGGAGAGCTTATTGATTGGAGATAACTCTAGGGGTAGAAAACTCTCAGAACTCATCAAATGTATATCATATTCCTTTCAATTACTCAGATATGGTAAACATGAGGAAATTAAATCTTCATCAGAGTACAAAACAAATTCTGGCCACAAAATAGAGCGAAACACCAACGTCAAAGACCTGGGAGTGATTATGTCGGAGGATCTCATCTTCAAGGACCATAACATTGTATCAATCGCATCTGCTAGAAAAATGACAGGATGGATAATGAGAACCTTCAAAACTAGGGAGGCCAAGCCCATGATGACACTCTTCAGGTCACTTGTTCTATCTAGGCTGGAATATTGCTGCACTCTAACAGCACCTTTCAAGGCAGGTGAAATTGCCGACCTAGAAAATGTACAGAGAACTTTCACGGCGCGCATAACGGAGATAAAACACCTCAATTACTGGGAGCGCTTGAGGTTTCTAAACCTGTATTCCCTGGAACGCAGGAGGGAGAGATACATGATTATATACACCTGGAAAATCCTAGAGGGACTAGTACCGAACTTGCACACGAAAATCACTCACTACGAAAGCAAAAGACTTGGCAGACGATGCACCATCCCCCCAATGAAAAGCAGGGGTGTCACTAGCACGTTAAGAGACCATACAATAAGTGTCAGGGGCCCGAGACTGTTCAACTGCCTCCCAGCACACATAAGGGGGATTACCAACAGACCCCTGGCAGTCTTCAAGCTGGCACTGGACAAGCACCTAAAGTCAGTTCCTGATCAGCCGGGCTGTGGCTCGTACGTTGGTTTGCGTGCAGCCAGCAGCAACAGCCTGGTTGATCAGGCGCTGATCCACCAGGAGGCCTGGTCACAGACCGGGCCGCGGGGGCGTTGACCCCCGAAACTCTCTCCAGGTAAACTCCAGGTAGGAAGTGGAAAGTGTGAGCATGTATAAGCCTCAGAACCAACAGCACTCACACCACCATGATACAGTAGTTTTGTTGCACATATTCTTGTTTGAAATAGGGCAAAAGTTGACATGAATAAGGTATATCTTATCTTCCATCCCTTACTCCTTGTCATTATTGCTACAGAAGTGTGTAGATATGAGTGATCAGGACCTTATTGGCCAAAATGGCGGTCTGTGGCCTCCACTTAAAGTTTTCATCTTCGCTACATTATAAATTCTGTAAGATTTTCTGTTTTAATAATGTTTTCCACACTTGATTATCAATCACCAGCATATTCAGCAGCTAGCATAGGTAAATGACTGTTTAAGGTACAAGAATGTGTAATTACAATGTAATTATGTGTTACACTTGCTGTGTGAGTAACGTAACAGACAAAAACCATCATCACCACCTCCCACCTCTACTCGAACCACAATTTCAACCACAATTGTCTTAGGTAAAAGGACACAAATGCAACTAATGTGACACGAGCTGTGATCTTGCTACTTATAAATGTCTGCTGTAATAATAATAAGTAAATTTTATAGTTTACCTGAAAATATGAATGTCTTTACATCAAAACTTTTGCAATAGGCTAAAGATGTTGCAGAAATTTTAAATTGAAGCTCAGCTAATCTTTGGTTCTTATGTTTTGCAGATCATTATGCTAGAAGAATTACACATATCAGCATCCAGTGACATGAAAGCTGATATAAATGGCAGAAGTAGCACAAATAGTTAGTGTCAGAATTACTACATGCTGAGTGTCAGTACCTATTAATATCTTGATGCTTCCTGGCACATGTACATCCTCAACATCACGTACCTCTGCTTCATCTCCTGAAATATTTTTGGGCATCATCCATCACAGATGTGACATCTTGATCTACCCGTTGAAAATGTGTGGAAATCTTAATAAATTCTTTTGTATTTTTTATTTTGGTAAATGTAATTAACATGTCTCCTCATCTCCTGCCACCCCAAGATATTATGACCAGTGCTGCTCTCATCCTTTCTTTTTAACTTGTATATTTTGTTTCTCTGGCAGCCATTTGTAGCTTCCCTTTTAGACTTTTTCTAGTTCACATTTTTTGTTAGGTACTGACAGCATACCACTGTTGATTATTACAATTGTGGTTTAATATGCTGAAATACTTCACTGGCACTTGATAATCTGATAATATATAGGTTGTTATAAGGTTGATCAGTGTCAGATATGCTTTTCTTATTTCATTGCATGTGATCTGGTAAGTTTTATTTATTTATTTATTTATTTATTTATTTATTTAGAAATTTGAGCACACATACAGAGGTACAAAAAATACAGATAAGAGCAGCATGCCAAAGCCACTTATACTATGCATAGCATTACGGGCTGGCTTAAAATTAACTTAAGATTAACTAAGCAATGACTCAGTAATGTCTCTCTTAGTGTGCCTTTTTTATATTTTTACTTGGTTACTATGTTACGTTACATGACATTAATATCATTATTCTCCCACTCCACTCTCTTAATATTCCAGGTCTTCATTTTGAGTTAAATATTCATTCTTTATGGCTTATCTTCCATAGATTTTGTGTCATCTCTGAAAATGTACATTTAATTTTGAATTTCCTCTAGAAGTTTACACACCATGGCAAACATTAACTGATAAAACGCTCTTTCTTGCAACATCTCACTAGTAACATTATGAGGGTATTTCTCTGTAACACCATTTATGTATTATCCACTTTCTGTTAATGGCTCTTTCTATTAATTTCACAGAAATACTTATCAGCAAAACTCATCTGTAGTTTGGGGGATCCTCCATGTCCCATTAATTTAATTATCAACACAATGTATACTATTTTCCTTTGTTAACCAATTTACTTTCTTGGTAGAATTGCAAGGTTTTTCCAGATAGGATATCTTAGTTTGTTTGCAATTATCAAGACCCGAGATACTATCTTGTCTGGTAAACTTAACTTGTCAACATCCCATTCACATGCATCATTGACCTCCAAGTTCTGTACAGAACAAAAACTTGTCTCAGTTAAAGTTTCTGCTGCAGTGTGTATCTTTCCTTAAAGTATTCAAGTTCAGATGCCAGTTTGTGATATAAATCTCTAACATCCAAAGTGCTCTCTTTTATAAACACTAAAATTTTATATAAGAATGGAGAAATGCTACAGTAGGCCTACTAGCCCATACTAGGTAGGTCCTTTTCAAAGCCAATCATTCTCACTCACATATTTGTTCAGTCTATATCCAAAGCTTCTTGAGAAGCTAACTTCAGTACCTCAGATTCTCTTCAGATCCAACCCTTCTCACTTCTATATTTGTCTAACTTATTTTTAAAGCTACCTAAGAATTTAGCTTCTATGAACCTACTTCGCAGATAGTTCCACTAATCAACAACTTGATTTGAAAACCAGTTTTCTTATGTTCTTTCAAAATCGAAACCTGTCTAATTTAAATCTGCTATTTGGAGTTCTTTTCTGATTTGATATCCTCAATACTTTATATTGTCTTTGTTTATCTTCCCTCATTCTGTGTTTCTCAACAGAGTGAAAGTTCAAGGCTCTCAATCTATCCTTGTATATTTCACATATTTATTCTCATAATTTGATGATTTTATTTTCAACCTTAATTCTTTATACTAGTGCTGTCGTTCGAACAAAAGATTTGCTTTCTTCTTTATATAAACAAAAAATATATAAATAAATATGAGAGGTCATGGAGATATTAAAACATATCAGTGTTCAGAGTGTCTGAAGGTTTTTTCACAAAAATCACATTTAATAACTCACCTGAGAGTTCATACAGGAGACAAGCCATATCAGTGTTCAGAGTGTCTGAAGGTTTTTTCACAAAAATCACATTTAATAACTCACCTGAGAGTTCATACAGGAGACAAACCATATCAGTGCTCAGAGTGTCTAAAGGCTTTTTCACACAAATCTGACTTAAATAAGCATCTAAGAATTCATACAGGAAAAAAACCATATCAGTGTACAGAGTGTTTACAGACCTTTTCAGGAAAATCATATTTAAATAAGCATTTAATAATTCATACAGGTGAGAAACCATATCAGTGTATGAAGTGTCTAAAGACTTTTATACAAAAATCAGGTTTAAATGAACACCTGAGAATTCATTCAGGAGAGAAACCATACCAGTGTTCAGAGTGTCTAAAGGCCTTTTCAAAAAAATCAAATTTAAATGATCACCTGAGAGTTCATACAGGAGAGAAACCATATCAGTGTTCAGTGTGTCTGAAAGCCTTTTCAGAAAAATCAAATCTAATAGTTCACTTGAGAATTCACACAGGAGAGAAACCATACCAATGTTCAGATTGTCTGAAGGCTTTTTCACAGAAAACAAGTCTAATAAAACACGTGAGAGTTCATTATGGAGACAAATAAACATCTGTGTTTAATGACTCAAGATGTCCTCTGTGAAATCAAGTCAGACAAGAATCATTAAAGATCATACTATGTGGAATATCTTAGTTTTCTGTGAATATAATGGTCCTTGCATAGAAAGTGGGGCAAAAGGGGGGGGGGGGTTGATTATCAAAACAGAAGCGCTAAACCCACTAGGGTCATACAGTGCTGCATGACAGCACTGTTATCCTCTCCACCTCTGTTGTCCTCTCCACCATAGCAAGGGTAGAGAGGATAATAGAGGTAGAGGTAGAAAGGGCTGTAATGTGTGCTAAATGAAGTATTTTCAAAGTTTGTGTAATAAATAGGTTGCTGTCAAAAAGGGAGTCTGTGTCAAAGGTGGGGCCGTCAGCAGTTAGGGAAGATAATGTTAAGGTGTTAGAGCAGTGATGATGATGGAGGAAAATTCTGCGTGCTCGTAGACAGACAGGACAGTCCAGTAGAATATGGGAAACTGAAATTGGAACCAGACAGTTCTCACAGAGTGGCACAGGGCACCTCTCCATGAGATACCCATGGAGAGGCACCATGTGCCCTGTGCAAAGATGAGAGAATATCTCCCAACCTTGGCATTGATGACAAGGTCAGAAACCTAAACTTGGTTTGATAGAATGTAATTTGTTATGAGTCATATCAGACCAATGTTGTTGCCAATGGTTCTGAAGATGGTTAGAGATACAGCAAAATGGTCTGATATGAAACTGGGAGGTCATGCACTGCTGACCGTGCAGCAGAGTCTGCCTGCTCATTGCCCTGAACATCAACATGACTAGGGACCAAACAGAAAATGATTTCTTTGTTTTTGCTGGTAATGTGGTGCAACCAAAGGTGTTGTAGATGAATGGTTCACAGAACTGACACGTTGATAAATTAGACACATGTGCAACTCTTGGGTATCTTTATTAAGGAAATGTTTCGCCACACAGTGGCTTCATCAGTCCATACACAGGAGAAGCTTGAAGAATAGGAGGAGAATAGGTAATCAGTCCCTCAACCTTGAGTCGATGTGGTCAGTCCATCAATCTTGAGTAGAATACTATTCTATTCTACTCAAGATTGATGGACTGACCACATTGACTCAAGGTTGAGGGACTGATTACCTCATTCTCCTCCTATTCTTCAAGCTTCTCCTGTGTATGGACTGATGAAGCCACTATGTGGCGAAACGTTTCCTTAATAAAGATACCAAAGAGTTGCACATGTGTCTAATTTATCAACCAAAGGTGTATACGAAGAACTAATGGATGAGGTGAATCAAATTTTTAATAGCTTACAAAACACTATAGGAGTTTGAGTTAATTACAAATGTTGAGGTAGGCACAGATGCAGTATGAATAATTACAATGAGATTTTAATACAATTCAGCTGTAAAAATGCTCGCTGGAATATTGCTTCAAACCTAACACCATCAGAGGATTTAGAACCATCAGTGTATACTGCGACGGCATGAAAATGAGACCGAAAGTACCTACATTACCTACTCACCAAATTATGGTTGCAGGGGTCAAGTCATAACTCCTGGCCCCGCCTCTTCATTGGTTGCTACTAGGTCCACTCCCTGTTCCATAAGCTTTATCATACCTCTTCTTAAAACTGTATATGGTATCTGCCTCCACTACCTCAGTTTCCAGACTATTTCACTTCCTGACAACTCTGACTCAGATGAGTTCTCAGCTTCCAATTGTGACCCCTTGTTGCTGTGTCCCATCTGTGGAACGTTCTCTCTCTGTCCTCCTTGTCGATTCCTCTCATTATTTTATGTTATGTCCTTGCATCCCTCCTGTCCTCCAATGTTATCAGGTTGAGTTCCTTTAACCTCTCCTCATAGGACATTTCCCTTAGCTCCAGGACTAGTCTTGTTGCAAACCTTTTTACTTTTTCTAATTTCCTGATGTGTTTTGTGGGGTATGGGTTCCAAACTGGGGCTGAATACATACTCCAATATGGGCCTGATGTACATGGTCTGGAACTACTCCTTACTGAGATGTCAGAATGCTATTCTTAGGTTCACTATTTACCCATATGCTGCAGCAATTATTTGGTTAATGTGCACCTCAGGACATGTGCTTGGTATTATACACACCCCAAGATCTTTTTCCTTGAGTGAGGTTTGTAGTCTTTGGCCCCCTAGACTGTACTCTGTCTGCGGTCTTCTTTGCCTTTCCCTGATCTTCATAACTTTGCACTTGGTTGAGTTGCACTCCAGGAGCAAGTTGCTGGACCAGGTCTGCAGCCTGTCCAGATCCCTCTGTAGTCCTGCCGTCTCCTTCTCCAATTGAATTCTCTTCATTAACTTCACATAGTCTGCAAACAGGGACACTTCCGAGTTTATTCCTGCCATCATGTCATTCACATATACCAGAAACAGCACCGGTCCTAGGACTAACCCCTGTGGAACCCGACTCGTCACAGGCGCCCACTCTGAGACCTCATCACGTACCAGGTATTCTCTGATCCATTTCAGTGCCTTCCCTGTTATACCTGCCTGATCGTCCAGCTTTTGCACTAATCTCTTCTGTGGAACTTTGTCAAAAGCCTTCTTACAGTGCAAGAAAATGCAGTCTACCCACCCCTCTTTCTCTTGTCTTACTGCTGTCACCTTGTCATAAAACTCCAGTAGGTTTGTGACACAGGATTTCCCGTCTCTGAATCTGTGCTGGCCCCATTGCTTTTGAGATATCTAGTTTGCTTAGCAGCCTCTTCACCTCCTTGTTTGTATGTATCATGTTCAGCACTTGATGGTGTACCACACCTCTCCATCTTTCTGAAGTCCTTTCTGGCTCCACTGTGAATACTTCTTTGTTTAAGAAAAAGAGAGCAAGAAGCAACTGTAGGTATTTGGGCTTTTGCACACAGCAGTGGGGAAGAAAAGACAGAAACTGTTGAAATCTCCCAAGGGGGTAGTGAAAAGTTAGATGTTAGATGAACATTTTATATGTTCATCGAGCAACTCCTCTTCAAGGGGGGCTCCTTGGGGTGGTGAAGAGGCTCTTAGTCTGAGGAATTAGACCTGTTGGTCTACTTCCTCAGACCGAACCTAATTACCCCCCAATAACCCGTTCCCTATCCCATCCTCCCCTTTTTCCTTTCCTCCTCCTCCTCCCCACCCCTCCCTTTTGCCCTTCCTTTTTGGCCTTTTTTTTTTTTTTTTTTTTTTTCACAGGCACGCTAGTTCCTAGGTAGGGGAAAGGGTACCGGGGTCCATCATATTCCGTTGAGGTTCTTGGCGGTGGCGTAGTTTGCCGTGGAATCTGGATTGCCTGGGGATGTCCTGATCCCTCTCCGGTATCCCGGAGGGTGGCTTTGGGTGTCTCTCGGGCGATGGGTGTATCTCTGGAAGCCACCTTTCGGATTCCGGGGGTGGTGGCCGAAGGAGGTATGCTTTGTGGCGGATTTCCGGCTGCCCTCTCTTTTGTCCACCGAGGTAGCTCGGCAGATGTGAGGTTGCTATCCCAGATTGCCGGTTTACTGGCATGATGGGTAGGGTATGGCACGGGTTCCATGCTGCATCTGCGCTACTTGCGGTGCTGAGGTTCTCTTAGGCGTGGAGGGAGATTTCTGGCCCTTTCATTCCTCCTAGGAACTATCCCTCCCCGGTCCCCCCTTTTTTTATTCTTTTTTTATTTTTACTTTCTTTTCTTTCTTTTTTTCTTAAAAACAAAAAGAAAGAAGTAACCTAACTATGGCAGCCCTAGTCCATGAACCTGCTACCCCCGGGCCCCTTCTTGATACCGCACCCCGTTCTGACCCTGCCTCGTCTTTGGACCACTCTTCGGACACTCCTCATGCCTCTGTACCTCTTGCCGGTGCTGTTTCCTCACCCGCTTCAGGTACTGAGGCCTCGACTGACTCCTTCGATTTATCTGACCTTCGCTCTCCTCTGACTATGCTTCCGGCCTCTCCCTCTATGGTGCGGCAATTTTCGAATTGCCGGCCCGTTCCACGTCGGACCAACTCTGGTCCCACGCCTAAACGCCAACAACAATTACCTGCTGATGATACTTCTCCACCTTCTCGTTCTTCTCAGAAAAGATCGACACGTCCTTCACTACCTTTCCACACTCAGTTTCAGACTGCACAATGGACTAAATTCTTCACTTTACGACCGACTTCCTCTACTGCCTATCTTTCTGACCACAGTATTGGCAAGGCACTCCTACGCCATGTTGGTAAAGATATTTCTTTTCATGCTCTTAAGAGCGGTACGCGCATCGTCACCGTACAGAATGCTACCCAGGCTCATGAGCTTTCTCGTCTTTCCCACATCGATACTGTTCCTGTAACTATTGAAAAGCATCATTCCCTCAATTCTTGTAGTGGTACCGTCATTCTGCCCCATACCATAGTTCAACAAAATTTTCCAGACATGTGGCACTGACATTCTTGAACAGCTGGAACTCCAAGATCTCCCAATCCTCAAGGTAGACACTTACGTTCTTCCTGCCCGCGGGCGGAGACGATACCCTAGCAATGTGGCTCGTTTAACTTTTGACAGCCATGAACTCCCATCCTCAGTTTATGTAGCAGGGCATCAGTTACAAGTTTGAAAGGTGATCCCTACACCGCAACAGTGTAGAAATTGCTGGCGATTTGGCCATCCAGCGAAATATTGCAGATCTATCACCGAATGCACAGTCTGTGGTGCCAATGACCATTCTAATATGTCTTGCAATCGACCTCCCTCTTGCCTTAATTGTCATGAGGCTCACCCTTCGTACTCTCGCCATTGTCAAGTCTACTTAAACGAGCGGGAAATCCGTTACCTCAAAGAGGCAGAAGGTCTCCCTTATGCCAAGGCAGTTTCTCATCTCCGCCTCCAAGGGAGACTACCTCGTGTTTCTTATTCCCGTGTTTCAAAACGTCCCCCCACTACTGGTATCCCATCTTCTCCACCCACCTCTGTGGTTACCTCTCCCATAGTCACTCCTGTAGCTAATTCTTTTGCTGTCCTCGGCTGAGACGTCCCTACTTCAACGTCTCAGTCTGATCTCACTTCGTGTTCTCTCTCACAAGCCTCAGTAGCGACGAGATCTCATATGACACCTCCTCCCAATCATCCCTCTACTTCTCAAAAGTCAAA